GCCCAATTCTAATTCCTGGGCTGTCCCCTAGAAGCACAGGATTAAAAACGAGTCATTTTCTGTCTCATCACTGTCTCCGCAGCCCCTAAATGTGCCGGATACAGAGCAGGTAACTCCATAAGTGAACGTTGAATTGCTTTTCATACAGGAGGGCCCCCCAATCTACTTACTTAAGTAGGTGATCCTTTGTGCTCTCAAGTTTGAAGACTAACCGTCCTACAAGTCAAACCCATTTGTGTCATGTTGATTATTTAAACGTCTTTCACTTTCTTCTTGGTCCCTCTGGTGTCTCAGCCCCCAACCCCACCACCTCACTGCTGTAACAGTCTGAACAGAAGTGACTCCATTTTGTTAAATCTTTGAATTCAAAAACCTGTTCTCTCCTGTTACCCAAACCACACAGCCTGCAGCTAAATGCCAGAACACAAGGACTCTTGTGCTTACATTGTATAGAAACAGAGAAAAATTATTAACCCCAATGGCCATTCTCTACTAGCTTACTAACCTGCTTATTTGAGAGTAACAGGAACTGAGCCCACGGAGAACGAAGTATGACACCGGTCAGCTCCCACCTGGGAAGTTCCTGACGATCACCTGAAACACTCAGGCGTGTCTGCACGTCCCGGCTTGGTCACCATGAATCATGAATCCGCTTCCCACCACAGGCCCCTATAAAACCCTTCTGCAGACCTGGGAGTGGTGGAGGGGGTCTTTGAGACTTAAGTGCACCGTTTCCCCAGGCTGCTGGCTTTCTGATTAAAGGCTGCTTTTCCTTATACCAGCTCGCCTCTCAATTATTGGCTATTGAGCAGCAAGCAAATGGACCTTTGGGGTCCTGGTAACACTGCGAATGGGTCTTGAAGGCCCCTCCTACCTCCCATATTCAGGTACAGGGACTTGTTTCCCAGGCACCACTGCCAAGCTGTTATTGGCTCCCTCCTCTCTAAGTCGCCCTTTACGTGACATTAGGAGTCTATGTTCCCACTAGGTCGTGTGTGCCTTGTGGGTAGTGACCTGTTTCACCCATCCTGCTCTCTCCAGGACAGGGTGGATCACCTTCTTCAGAAGAAATGCTGCATAGTGTAGTGAGTTCAATGGTGGCCTCCAGGAGCTATGTCTATGTCCAAATGTGACCTTATTTGGAAGAAGGGTCTGTGTAGATGTTATTAAGTTATGGAGATGAGATCATCCTGGGTACACGGGTGGGCTGGTAACAAGTGCTCTTATAAGGGACAACAGAGAAGATGCTGGGAGGAGGCCAGAGAAGACAGAGGCAGAGACTGGAGCGATGCGGCCACAAGCCAAGGAGCCCCCAGAGCCCCAGAAGCTGAAGAGGCAGGAAGGACCTCTAGTGCCTCCACAAGGAATCCACGCTGCCTCCTACGTGTTACTGTGCTGTGTGCGCACCAGGTATATGAGTGCGCCACGTGGTGTCCTCAAACAACAGGACTTGAAGAGGCGCACCATTTTTTTTTTTAAAGATGACCAGTAAGGGGATCTTAACCCTTGACTTGGCGTTGTCAGCACCACGCTCTCCCTAGTGAGTGAACCAGCCATCCCTATATGGGATCCGAACCCGTGGCCTTGGTGTTCTCAGCACCACACTCTCCCGAGTGAGGCACGGGCTGGCCCTAAAAGGTGCACCAAATTGAGTCAAAAAAATAAAATGGCAAAATCACCAGCTACTCATTCTCACCAAGGAATTAAGATAAGGAAATGTGAGAGACACGAAAGTATTGGATATTTAGAAACGTACTGAGTAGCAGCAATGATGACACTTGGCTATCCACCTGTCTGTCTGCCCACCTGTGCTTCAGCCCACCTGTCCATCTACCTACACACCTACATGCCACGGAATATGGAGAAGTCGGAACTCTTCTCCATATCCTGGAAACCCCGTCCTGAATGGGAACAGGCAGGACTTTGCTAGAAAAGCAGAGAACGCTACCCAAAACCCACAATTGCCATGAAAATGCATGATGAGAAATTTGAGAAGAAAAACTAAAAAGCAATTTTACATACCTGATCCAAGATGAAGTAGCCTTAACGAAGAATTTTTAGATGAGAAGAGTCCAGATTGTAGCCCAACCACAACTAGACTGGGAAGAATCCCAGCCGGTCCCCATTGCGGGCAAGCCCTGGGACAGTCGATGTGAGATACGCAGACCTGAGAAACAGAACGGCTGCGAGTGTCCTCAGGAAAAGAAAACGCCTAAAACATTTTGTTGCTTTCTTTCTCAACTGACTTTTTCTTTAAGGCATAAAAACACTGAGGAATCCACAAACCGGTTTTGATAGGACACTTGTAACTTTGATGACTTGTTTCATTTTGTCTTTCCAGAAGCTTTAAGCTACCCAAGTCCTGCTTGGCTTGTTTGGCCAGAAAGGACGAGAAGATGGAAAAGGTAGAGGCACATCAGCATGTTACACCTCACACGTAGTGAACCCCGAGAACTAAGAAATGCAGAACCTGGACGGCTCTGCCCTGACAGCGATGAGCTGGAACGCATCAATGCACGTAAGGAAGACCCGTGTTTTCACTGGTCAGCCATGGAGGACAGAACAGGACAAGGGAAACCAAGGCCAGCACCAGCAGTGGCCATCCAAACACTGCCCAGGGTGGGTGGTGTGGGTGCTGGGCTCTGTGCATTCCCAGCCCAATGGCAACACTGTCCCTGCAGTGGGGAGGTCAATGGTTGTCTCTTGTCCCAGGGCTACTGGGTGTAGCGTCCTTTGCCTGGCCACTCGCCAGCACCCACCTTTCCTCCTGGGAATCAGCCTCCAGCCCTACAGTGGGTCCCCTCACCTCTGCCACAGTGGGCTGGTTCACCACTGAGGACTTGGTCTGAGTCATCAGAGAGCCAGGCTTCCTGGTTCCTGCCGCCATAAGTCTGGGAGGATGTGGCCCTGGGACACCTTGAGATGAGGTGTGGACAGTGGGCCATAGAACCAACGCCGGGGAAGGAAGCAGATTTCCGAAGGCAGTAGGAATGCGCATGTGCTCACACACGTTTTAGGCTCCCCATCTGAGCCCTGAATCCAGGGTTGCTTCAGCCAGCCCTACCCACGGACTGTTTGCGAGCCTCCACATTTCTTTGTTTGCCACCATCCACCCATCTCCTGAGCGCCCCTTTAGGTACTGGTGAGATAGTCTCTGAGCCTCCAGAGCAGAGCGCAGGACACACTTTCCTCTGTACACCACCCTGATCCTGCACTTCCACCTTCCACCTTTTTTATTCTAATTGATTCCTATAACATAAGTTCCATGTGGTTACACTGCCTTCATGAATCAGCCTAGAGCATGAGATAAAACAGCTGCAGTCAATTTTCAATATAATTACAGCTTATTCCCAGTATTCTTTATTGGCAGTGGAAAATGCTTCAGTACTTTATTGAAAGAAAGCAATAAATAATACTGTGATAAAAATAGTTCAAAAGTAGACTGTACATACTTTGTTACACAATCAGGAAGTTCACAAAAGATTAATAGAGAAACAGAACAGTAACAATGAATTGTACAAGTAAATTAAAAGCAGAAAACAAGTGTAAAAAGACATGCTGTCTCTATCTATGTTTCAGTTGCATAATAAATAACGCACCATGACCTGACATTTTTTGCTGGCTTTTTAATATGCCATTTAAAAAGTAAAAGTTACATTTGCTACTTATACAATCCAAAATAGCTATATCATCAAAATCTAAAAATGTAGGACTAGGTTCATTCTTTAAACATGTTTACAAACAAATGTAACAAGATGATTTACATAAGAAAGTAAGGCCTTTATTAGAGTTGCTACGCTGTATCGTGTTCAGGGGCGCCTGTGTGCTGCAGGCACCCATGCCGGTGAGATGACGGTGCAGTGCCTGCTGATTGGTCCTCGAAGAGTCCTGGTATGGGAACCTCCCTACCCTGTTTCCAGCGAGGGAAGCAGGGAAGCCAGCTGGGCAGGCGGGGGCCAGCCCCCAGGAGTCCTTCCCTCCCCGCAGAGAACAGCTCCCGGCTGGGCTCATGGCTCTGGTCAGTTGCTGAAGACAAGCCCCCCAAGTCCATCCAGAGACTAGGCTAGGAAAGGGTTAGCCAGTGCTAAGAGATTTTCATAGTGTTCTGATCATCCTTCAGTCCAAATGTTATTAGAAGCTGATATTTAACACCTGATATTTTACATCTGTTCACACTGCAGAATAAAGCATTTCTTGCTAGAAAAAGTATACAAGGTCAGTCATTAAAATACAACAAGAATTGCTGGAAATTAAGTATGCTTATTTCAAAATGATTGTTGCATTTGTAAAGGATAATGCACATTGCTTGTGTCATAATGATTTTATAAATGTAGTAAAATTCTCTTCTCTGTAATGGTTTATCATTAAAAAATTAAACAATAATAATTACAATAAATGTATCATTTACAAAAGCCCTATATTTGTCCATAGGATTTATACATATAAGCATTACAGTACATTCATTTGAAAAACTAAAATTAGGTATAAGAACATGAATTGACTTGAAAGGATATTTATAGCCTGGATATACATGAAAACATAAGTAACTATATAAATGAAGAGTCATAAGTTTACATAAATATAGGAAACATTAAATTCTAAAATATTTTCTCTATGGTATTCATG